CCCCCCCTGGAATAGCTATTGGTAGGAATCCGGTAGGATCCATTCTTTCTCATTCCCTGGGCCAAGTGATGGTTCAGTCGCAGGCTTACCATCTGAAAAGAGAGCTAGTGATGTTCGTTACCGACTGCTCCTTTCGACTGGGACGCACTGACGAACTGACTCCTTCAGTTTTGGAAAGTGAAGATTACATAACCGTACTTCCCGTCTGAGGTTCATGGACACCGATTCTGGAACCCTGCTGCCAGTGTTTGCCCAAATGGAAGTCAACAAACAGCAGTTGGTCTCAACCCTAAGGATCCGCACCCGAAACAAAACAAGGGTTTGGTTCGGGGCCCCAGCCACCCTTGTGAGCTAGAGGGTTCGACCCCGACCGCCATGGAGGGTCCGGACGACCGGATCCTTAGGGTTTACACAACAAACGTCGGCTCATGCTGTCATGCCGTCAGGGCACATCGGATTGGTCATGCCTCTGGATGCCCACAAAGTCGCCAACCTCTCACCGTTCGAACGGTATTGTTGGGAGCTCTCCAACTAACGCATTTTAGGCTATTTGAGGTGTAGGACCCTAGGATGGTGCGGAAACAAAACCTAGGATGGTGTAGGTCTGTAGGTCTGCTCTTTCCAGTCACGTGGAGGGCGTGATGCGGAGCTCGGCTCGTCCCAATCTGTGGATGTGACGTGATCGTACCGAACCTCAGAAGCTACAACTGGACCCTCCTGGCACCTACATACCAGAAGGTACGACTGGATCCCTAGGGAAATACACTCCAAGTTCGGCCTTGTGACTCTTGGTAGTTTTCAGAAAACAGCCTGAGGGTCACAAAACGGCCCAGTTTGGCCTTGTGCCAGCACGAAAGCGGATCGTTTTTATGACTTGGCCTTGGCCTCAAAGCCCCTCCCTCATGCTGGTTGATCAATCTTGCAAGCTGGTGGGTGGTTTCAACTCACAAACAACAAATCTTAGTCAGTGGGTTCAAGGTCAATATCTGGTTCAATCATCCCAAGTAAAGACCAACAAAGGTTAAGTGACCTTCTAGGACCCTGCAGGGGTACCTATAATAGGATAGTCTATAGGCTTCTTCAACCTCTGCTGGGATTCACAATAAAAATATAGGACACCCACACCGATTTGGGGCGCACTTGCGCTTGGAATAGCAACGAAATGCTTCAGCAGCTTGAGCAGAACTGCAAGCCATCACTGCCTACCGAACCATGAACCCACTTCGGCACTGTTTCAATGTGAGCTCCTGAGGCGTGAGTCACATGCGTGCGCCTGCGGCTCGCAGCTCCCAGCAGCTCCTTTTCTTCATCGATATCCACTCTTCGCGGCATCGGCGCGTGTCGTCAACTCATTATATGGACCATCGCCTCCATGTTCCGCTCCTCCCCACGAGATCACCTGACCATCGGATCGCAAGGCAGCAAAGGCCTTGTCAGTGGCCTGAAGGGCAACCACACCTTGGAAAGCTGGGTAAAAATAAAGCATCTCTGTTCCCCAATCCACCAAGCAAATGAAGCGCGAATCAACCGGCCAAACGAACAAAAACAATAACCCTAAGAATCAAGGACCCGACCCGTTCGCTGAAGGTTTGGTTCGGGTCCAAAGGCCCCCTGCGGAACCTGCAGGGTCGAGTCCAAACGGCTCCAATGATTCTTAGGGTCAATAACCCCTAGGGCTCCAACCATATCCTCAGGTGGTTGGAGCCCTAGGGAACAACCAACACCTTTCGCCCCCAGGTCCCTTAGCTTCGCTCTCCGCCCTTTCATGGCAGGACACTGTGCAATTGATCCTTCACCGCTGAGCAGTCGCCCCCGGCGGCCTTGGGACCAAAGGCCATCACGGTGCCGTCCGTCATGATCGCCGCGAAGGCGCTACAGGAGGCCTGTAAGACCTGCACCTTCTTGGAGCCCAAGTCTGGGACGAGCACACCGTTCTCATACCTGGTACGAGCGAAAAAAACCGCCTAAGCTGGATGAAAGGCCAGAGTCGGGGGCCTGGGCGGGCCCCATAATATACCAGAAATGATTCAACGCATGAAATCAAATGGGGCAACATATGGAATTCATATTATAAATAGTATACTACATAGACCAGAATCTTCCAACTATTCAGAACGCCCACATGTCAATCCATCAAAATATAGCCAGAATGCAAACATCTTTGGAAGATCCAAGGTGTACTTCCAGGTGTCTGCTGTCTTATACGCACGTAGACACGTATTTGTTCAAATACCGCCGTTAAAAAAGGATTCACCATGGGTTCACCATTATTTACCAAAAGGGAGAACGTGAAATAGAAATAGTAATAGTAATGTAAAGTGACCGACTAAGTATTTCAGCCCAGGATACACATCATTCCTCCCCCAAATGACGAGGTTTCCATCCTCCTGGATGCCTGCAAAGGCATCCAAGTTGGCAGAGATTTCCGTGAAGGGTCCCTTGAAGTATTTCCGCGGAATCGGCTTCCAAATCTCATTCAGGGACTCATGAGCCGGCCAGCCCCATGTGACAATGGAGCCATCTGCCTTGATGGCACACCAGCCGTGCTGGTTGGCTTGAACCCGTCGGAGACGCGACAGATTCTTGGGTGGCAAAGGTTTGAAACTGCTCGGTGGGTCCTCCTCCGCTTCCTCCTCCTCGTCGGGTGAGGTGATGAAGAGTTGACTCCTAGGAGCTGTTCGGAAGCATCGGAACGTCCGGGGTTCGGAAGTCACCCACGCGGACCGGGCTCCAGTCATACCTCCGAAAGGGTATCTGGACCCTGGCACTAAACACCGAACCGAAACGAAGGTACGACTGGAGCCCACCCGAGCGAGTTCGGGAACAAACCATTTTCACCACCCCTCCACGGCCCTGGAATCATGATAGTGGCATGACCTCGATTTCGGATGACATCCTCATAGCCAGGTGGTGCCATCCACCTGAATGATGCTTTCAGGGAACTCCACCAAAACGGAGCCTTACAGGCCAGCCTACAAGCGCCACCAAGTGTTGTTGCGCCCCTGAACTCTTGCGCCCAAGTATGGGAGAGCTGGTATAGAAATTCATGCAAGAATATGTACCAGCACCGAAACCAACAGGTCTCTGAAATGGAGGATTGTTAGGCCCTAAACAGCTTTCAATCGACCTGTGAAGTCGGTGGCTGGTACCAGCAGCGCTTCAGCGTGAGCGGTGCTTTCCCGGCCTTTTACGGCTCAAACGCAGCCAGGGCGCTCTTTCCACACGGCCAAACAGCCACCTTCCACCAGGGCTATCAACTGCTCGGCTCCGGTCTTGGTCTTCTCCGCACCGAAGAGTGTGGCCACATGGCCCACGGGCTTGGAGTAGTATGGCGATCCCACCCACCAATGCCTAGCGGCAGTTTGTTCGGGTCCAGGGTCGCCTCTGGGAGGCTTAGAACCCCACCTTCCCTAGGCCTTCCTTCGTTTCGAAGGTGGGACTGGGGGCCCGGTGCCAGGAGGGTCGAAGACCACCGAAACTGTTTCTCATGACCATGTCAGGAAATGACCATGTCGCGGTGCCAGGAGCCCCGTAGCGATGGCGATGCCCGAAATGCTCCGTTCCTAGTAGTACACGAACATAGGGAACATCAACATCATTCAACATCACCTATTACCCCATGGATCCACCGCCACCATTAGAAGGGGGTGATGTGTTCGACACTTGTATGTAGCTTTGGACGGTCCAGTCGTATCTTCGAAATGGCAGTGGATCGCAAGGGTAAGGAAGCAACCCCGACCTATAGTGTGTTCAGAAGAAATTGCACAAACCTAAAGATCTCTTTTATATGGGGGTCCCACACCAAAAGAACAACAACACCTAACTTGGGGGCCCAAACGTGCCATCGAACTCACCTCTGACTTCAGCACCAGGATGCTGTTTCCCCCAGGCGACGGCCGTGTGGTCCTTCATCAGGGCACAGAAGCCACAACCGGCCGGTGCGATCGCTTCCACGTTCTGAAGGTGAATGTAGGGCGGCAGTACTCCGCCAAAATCCTGGGACTATTAAAAGAAAACAAACAACAACAACATCACACATCACACATCACACCACATAACTCTTCACCATATCCCAATAAAACATGTGAAAGCAGCAACAACAACAACAACAGGCAAACTGGATGCCCTGGGATATATATATATATAATTATATAATATATATATTACATATTATTATATGTATAGCTGAGTTGTATTTAAGATAGATCAAAAGGACGTATAACCACTTTTCCTCAATACTTACCTGTATTTACCACATATTTCAATAGTTCATACGTTACCATTTCTCACCCAGGTCCGTCCCCATCCTTCTCTGGAAACCACTTCTGCAGTGCAATAGTGTGTAGTCAGTGCCGGAGTTGTCTTTTAAGAAAACTGCAAGGGTGAACATTGTTAGTATAATTGAGTGCTGCATGTCCCTAGCTTCTGAACTCCGAAGCTCTAGGAATAACGTCAAAAATTATAGACTCATCCTGGCCTGCTTTTGAGCCAGTTGAACAGTTGATATTGGATGCATGTTGGTTTGAAGCTTGACTCACAAACCCCCATGAGTTGCGTCTCAATATGCTTCATTCATGCACCAGCCATCACAAGAGAGCGAAAAGTTGAAAGTCGACAAGTACTCAATCATCCATCCACTCTTTTATTTGAAACCAGGCTTCTGCTAGACTTGGAATGGATTGGACTGGAAGGGTGAAATCCAAGCTCAACATGTGCTTTCCCCAAATTTTGCAAATGTGAGCTCCTTTGAATTCATGCTGCGGGACCGAGTTACAAATTTTTGCTCAGTGCGAGCCCTTAGATCACTCGCTATCGGTAGTAAGTTGGCGAGTTTGGCCAGCATGAGACCCTTAGATCACTCGCTACCAGTAGCGACTTGGGGAATTTGCCCTTAGATCACTCGCTACCGGTAGTGATTTGGTGCTACCGGTAGTGATTTGGTGAATTTACCTACTGAGCCCCTTAGATCACTCGCTACCGGTAGTGATTTGGAGAATTTACCGAGAATGAGGCCCTTAGATCACTCGCTACCGGTGGTGATTTGGTGAATTTACCCAGAATGAGCCCCTTAGATCACTCGCTACCGGTAGTGATTTGGGGAATTTACCTAGTGAGCCCCTTAGATCACTCGCTACCGGTAGTGATTTGGATTTTTGCCCAGAATGAGCCCCTTAGATCACTCGCTACCGGTAGTGATTTGGCGAATTTACCTAGTGAGCCCCTTAGATCGCTCGCTACCGGTAGTGATTTGGTGAATTTACCCAGAATGAGCCCCTTAGATCACTCGCTACCGGTAGTGATTTGGGGAATTTACCTAGTGAGCCCCTGAGATCACTTGCTACCGCGAATGGTTTGGGGAATTTGAAGAGAATGAGCCCCTTAGATCACTCGCTACAGGTAGTGATTTGGGGAATTTACCTAGTGAGCCCCTTAGATCACTCGCTACCGGTAGTGACTTGGTATTTTTGCCCAGAATGAGCCCCTTAGATCACTCG